ATTTTTGAACCATGTCTACCTTGCAAGGTGGACACAGTTCCACAACATAATTTGTTGGGTCAATAGTACTATAAAAAGCCATTGGACTTCTCAATACTTGCCCACATTGATGGGCAGCAATTGTATGATTGTAAGAGGAACATTGCTCATCTTATATAGAGGACTCTAGAGCTCCTCTTTTCAAACATTTTTAATGTGGGATAAAAATGATCTCACATCTTTGTCTTCTTCTTCTTTTTTTTTTTTTTTTTTTTTTTAATTTTAATTTTATTTTGTATATAGTTTTATTTGGATTATTATTATTATTATTATTATTATTATATTATTATTATTATTATATTATATTATATTATTGTTATTATTATTATTATTATTGTTGTTGTTGTTGTTGTTATTATTATTTTAATTTTATTATATACTTGAACAATAATATTTTTATTATACTTGAACAATAATATTATCAATTATATTATATTATAGAATATAATACCATATATAATATTACCAATTAATAGATTTTATTTAATTTCCATTTGACATTTACTTACCAAATAAGTTTTGAATCTCTATATTCATAAATACATAACTATATATTCATAATTATGCTCACAACACTATGTTCATAATTATAGAACTATATGTTCATAATTGTTGAACAATATATTCATAATTATGAACAATTTTGGAATCGTGTCAACCTTGCAAGATGAACACAATTTCACAGCATAATTTATCAGGTCAATAGTACTAAGAAAAAAAATCTTTGGACTTCTCAATACTTGCCCACATTGATGGGCAAGCAATTATGTTTGCAAAAGGAGCATTGCTCCTCTTATATAGAGGAGCTCTCAATACTTGCCCACATTGATGGGCAAGCAATTATGTTTGCAAAAGGAGCATTGCTCCTCTTATATAGAGCTCAAGAGCTCCTTTTCTAAACATTTTCAATGTGGGATCAAATGATCCACCATCATTTACAAAGGGGAGTCCGTGGCACCCTTTTTGTCTTCTTCTTATTTATTTTAGTTTTAATTTTATTTTGTATATCGTTTTGTTTGGATTACTATTATTATTATTATTATATTATATTAATAATAATAATAATATTATTATTATTATTATTATTATTATTATTTATTTGATTATTATTGATAAATTCGTCAAAATTTTAACAAATTCGTCATTTTAACATTTTAACTTTAATCAAAACCCCCAAAAAATTATATAGTAACTCAGTAATTTGCTCCAAGTGGCTAAAAACTAATACAACCCCATTAGTAATAAATAAATAAAAACTAAAATAAGAAGACATAGTTGAGGCTTCTTAAATAAGAACCTTTTGACATCTCAATACTTGCTCACATTGATGGGCAAGAAATTATGTTTGTAAGGGGATCATTGTTCCTCTTATATAGATGAGCTCTCTCTTTTCAAACATTTTCAATGTGGGATAAAAATGATCTCAAAATCATTTACAAATGGAGCCCGTGACTCCCCTTTGTCTTTTTTTTTTTCTTTTTTTTTTGTTTTTAATTTTAATTGTATTTTGTATATAGTTTTGTTTGGATTATTATTATTATTGTTGTTGTTGTTGTTATTTGATTATCTGACAAATTGGTCAAAATTTTAAGAAATTCGTCTGTTTAACATTTTATATTTTATCAAAACACCAAAAATATTATTTAATAACTTTACAATTTGCTCGAAATTGCTAAAAACTAAAACAACTCATATACATTTTTGGTTAATCTTTCCAAAACCCCCTAATAAATTAAAAAAAAAAATTAAAAAAAAATTAAGAATCCATATAAGTTTTTTTAAATAAGAGCCATTTGACACGTTGAGTTTTAATAGGTTGTGAAACCGTGTCCACCTTGCTGTTCTATGTTCATAAATACTTAACTATAAGTTTATTATTATAAAGCTATATATTCATAATCTTTGAACTTCATATTCATAATTATTGAACTCTATATTCATAAATACAGAGATATTCACAATTATTGAATCTCTATATTTATAATTAGATAACTATGTGTTTATAATTATGTTCACAACACTATGTCCATAATTTTTGAACTATATATTGATATTGATTATTATTATATTCATAATTATGAACTATTTTTGAACCATGTCTACCTTGCAAGGTGGACACAATTCCACAGCATAATTTGTCGGGTCAATAGTACTATAAAAAGCATTTGGACTTCTCAATACTTGCCAATATTGATGGGCAAGCAATTGTATGGTTATATAGAGGAGATCAAGAGCTTCTCTTTTCAAACATTTTCAATGTGGGATCAAAATGATCCCACATCATTTACTAAGGGAGCCACCTTTGTCTTCTTCTTATTTTTTTTTTTTATTTTAATGTTATTTTGTATATAGTTTTGTTTGGATTATTATTATTATTATTATTATTATTATTATTATTATTATTATTATTATTATTATTATTATTATTGTTGTTGTTGTTGTTGTTATTGTTATTATTTTAATTTTATTTTATACTTGAACAATTATATTTTTATTATACTTGAACAATAATATTATAGTATAGAATATAATACCATATATAATATTACCAATTAATAGATTTTATTTAATTTCCATTTGACATTTACTTACCAAATAAGTTTTGAATCTCTATATTCATAATTACATAACTATATGTTCATAATTATGCTCACAACACTATGTTCATAATTATTATAGAACTATATGTTCATAATTGTTGAACAATATATTCATTATTTTGAACAATTTTAAAATCATGTCTACCTTGCAAGGTGGACACAATTCCACAGCATAATTTATCAGGTCAATAGTACCAAAAAAAAAAAAATCTTTGGACTTCTCAATACTTGCCCACATTGATGGGCAACCAATTATGTTTGTAAAAAGAGCATTGCTCCTTTTATATAGAGGAGTTCAAGAGCTCATTTTCTAAACATTTTTAATGTGGGATCAAATGATCCAACATCATTTACAAAGGGGAGTTCGTGGCACCCTTTTGTCTTCTTATTTATTTTAGTTTTAACTTTATTTTGTATATATCATTTTGTTTGGATTACTATTATTATTATTATTATTATTATTATTATTATTATTATTATTATTATTATTATTATTATTATTATTATTATTATTATTATTATTTATTTGATTATTGATAAATTCGCCAAAATTTTGACAAATTCGTCATTTTAACATTTTAACTTTAATCAAAACTCCAAAAAAAATTATATAGTAACTCAGTAATTTGCTCCAAATGGCTAAAGACTAATACAACACATACATTTTGTGTTAATCATTCACAACCCCCATTAATAATAAATGAATACAAACTAAAATAAGAAGACAAAGTTGATGCTTCTTAAATAAGAACCTTTTGACATCTCAATACTTGCCCACATTGATGGGCAAGAAATTATGTTTGTAAGGGGATCATTGCTCCTCTTATAAGAGGAGCTCTCTCTTTTCAAACATTTTCAATGTGGGATAAAAATGATCTCAAAATTATTTACAAAGGGAGCCCGTGACTCCCCTTTGTCTTTTTTTTTTTTTTTTTTTTCTTTATTTAATTTTAATTTTAATTTTATTTTGTATATAGTTTTGTTTGGATTATTATTGTTGTTGTTGTTGTTGTTGTTGTTATTGTTATTTGATTATTTGGCAAATTCGTCAGAATTTTAAGAAATTCGTCTGTTTAACATTTTATATTTTATCAAACAATTTGCTCGAAACTGCTAAGAACTAAAACAACACATATACATTTTTGGTTAATCTTTCCCAAACCCCCTAATAAATTACAAAAAAAATTTTAAAAAAAATAAAGAATCCATTAAGATAATTTTTTTTTTTTTTTTTAAATAAGAGCCATTTGAAACGTTGGATTTTAATAGGTTGTATGTTCATAAATACTGATCTATAAATTCATTATTATAAAGTTATATATTCAAAATTTTTGAACTTCATATTCATAATTATTGAACTCTATATTAATAATTACAGAACTCTATGTTCATAGTTATTGAATTATATGTTCATAATTATAAAGATATATATTCATAATTTTTGAACTTCATATTCACAATTATTGAACCTCTATATTCATAATTAGATAACTATGTGTTCATAATTATGTTCACAACACTATGTTCATAATTTTTGAACTATATATTGATTATTATATTCATAATTATGAACTATTTTTGAACCATGTCTACCTTGCAAGGTGGACACAGTTCCACAACATAATTTGTCGGGTCAATAGTAGTACTATAAAAAGACTTTGGACTTCTCAATACTTGCTCACATTGATGGGCAAGCAATTGTATGGTTGTAAGAGGAGCATTGCTCCTCTTATATAGAGGAGATATAGAGCTCCTATTTCCAAACATTTTCAATGTGGGATCAAAATGATCCCACATCATTTACTAAGGGGAGCCACCTTTGTCTTCTTCTTCTTCTTTTTTTTTTTTAAATTTTAATTTTAATATTATTTTGTATATAGTTTTATTTGGATTATTATTATTATTATTATTATATTATTATTATTATATTATATTATATTATTGTTATTATTATTATTATTATTGTTGTTGTTGTTGTTATTATTATTTTAATTTTATTATATACTTGAACAATAATATTTTTATTATACTTGAACAATAATATTATCAATTATATTATATTATAGAATATAATACCATATATAATATTACCAATTAATAGATTTTATTTAATTTCCATTTGACATTTACTTACCAAATAAGTTTTACTACAAAAGTTTTGGGGGGAAAATTTGTTAGGAGGATTTTACTTTTATATATATATAGATATAGATATAGATATAGATTATTTTTATATAAATATATTTATCTGGTTGACTTTTATTTCCCCCCCTCCACATCCACAGCGCTGTCGCCCAAGTAAAGTATTGGGAAAGTATTAGGAAATGCATTCTTCAGTAAGACTACTGCAGTCTAAAGTCTTGCCCCTCAATATTCTTGCATAATCATTCTCCGGTGAGTTTCACTTAAAAAAAAAAGTCTGAAATTTTCCAGTAAATCTTGAATTTTTTTTGTATTGTGTACTTTGACATGGAAGTGGTGGGGGCAATTGTTGGTTCAGCTCTAACCGAGCCTTTTAGGTTTCTGTTCGGATCCATGTATGTTAGGATTAAGAATGTTTTCAAGATCCATTCAAATTACAAGGATTTTGAGAAAAACATGGAAGCTCTATTAGAACTGAAGCAACTCCTAGATGATGATGAGCTGCAACAACACTTTCCAAGAACTCAAGTGCGAGATTGGTTGAAGAGGGTTGAAAAATTGCAGAATGAATTTGATTCTGTGCGGTCAATTATCACACGGAATGGCAATACTATTGGTGCCTCTGGTTGCAAGTGTTCACTGGATTGCCGATTGAGCAACAGTATAGCGAAAGGCGGGGTGAAAGTTAAACAACTGATTGGAGATGGCAGAGCCTTTGAGAACAAGATAGTGGGGGTTAATCCTGTGCCTAATACAGTTGAGTATATTCCCCAAGCAACATTATTCCAAGGTCAAGCAACAGCAGCAAGAAATTTGGAGAAGATGAAGGGTTTGCTGCTGAGAAATGAAAAGGCTAAGATGATTGGGGTATGGGGCATGGGAGGTGTGGGTAAAACTACTTTAGTCAAGAATGTGAACAATGAGCTCAGTAAGGACCCAACAAATCAGGATTTCGACATTGTAATATGGGTTGTTGTGTCTCATAATGCAACTGTAGAAATCATCCGATCAAAAATTGCTAAGCGATTGCATTTGGCAATGGATAAAGAAGAAAGTGAAGAGAGCGCAGCCACTCGTTTGTACAACAAACTTAAGGGAAAAAGATTTCTCTTAATTCTTGATGATATATGGGAAGGAGTTGACCTGAATGCTGTAGGTATTCCTCCACTTGAAGATGATATTGGTAGCAAGGTCATACTAACCACTCGAAATTTTCATGTATGCCAGGAAATGTGTACTGATATTGAGTTCGAAATAGGTGGTTTGAGTGATGAAGAAGCTTGGGAGTTATTTTCTGAGAGAGTGGGGGAAGAAGTGATCAATGATGACCAAATTAAGCCGTTGGCAAGCGCCATTGTTGAGGAATGCAATGGATTGCCCCTTGCACTAATTGCAGTAGGGGCATCATTGAGGAAAAAGACAGAGGTTGCACTATGGAAATGTGCATTATACGCCTTGCAGAAATCAGAGCCTACTCAGATTCATGGTGTTGAAGAAAAGGTCTATAAACCCCTCAAGTGGAGCTATGATTCTTTAAGAGGTGAGCAGTTGAAATCTTGCTTTTTGTTTTGCTGCTTGTATCCGGAGGACTATGGAATTGATACTGATAGACTAGTCCAATATTGGCTAGCTGAAGGTTTACTTGATGAGCAACAAAACTATGAGCAATTACAAAATGATGTTAAACGCATTGTTGACTGCTTAATAAGCTCTTGTTTGTTAGAAAAGTGTGCAGTAGGCATTGATAGAGTGAAGATGCATGATGTAGTTCGTGATGTTGGGGTATGGATAGCAAAATCTTCTGAAGACTGGTGCAAATCAATTATCAATTCTGGAAATACCGAGATGCAGATCTCACAGCAACTATTGAGTTGTTCTCTCAAAGTGAAGAGAGTATCTTTTGTGGATAGCAAAATAGCATTTTTGCCAGACTGCAGCATACAATGTCTAGAAACAACAACTTTGTTTCTGCAAGGTAACTGGAGCCTTCATGAAGTTCCTAACTCTTTTTTACAAGGATTCCAAATGTTAAGAACTTTGGACCTAAGTAAAAGCAAAATCATGTTATTACCTGACTCTCTTCTTCAACTTCTTGAACTTCGAGCTCTCATTTTAAGGCACTGCTATTTCCTGCGGGAGTTGCCTCACCTTGAAGCTCTGAGAAAACTTCAAATACTTAATTGTAGTTTTACTCCTATAGCTAAATTGCCAGCCGGTTTTGAAAAACTAACAAATTTAAAGATGTTACTTCTAGATAGCAGCCTTCAGTTGAGAGAAATTCCCACTGGAAAATTTTGCAAGTTACATAAGTTGGAGTTTCTGAATATGGAAGATAGTGGTATCCAATGGGGAACTAGGGATACAATTGAGGCAAACGCACCATTTGAGGATTTGCTATGCCTAAACCAATTAACTGTCTTATACATAGACTTAAAAAGCATTCCTTGTTTCACCACCCAGCATACTTCTTGGTTCAAGAGAATTATAAAGTTTAGATTTCATGTTGATCATAATGCATATTGGAGTAGTGAAATTGGAAATGAAGTGTTGTTGAGAGGGCTTCATTTCTCAGGTGATGAAATGGTTGGGTTGTCGTTACTAAATTCTCTTAGCTTTAGTATTGACAAATGTAAGGAAGTTGATCTCATGCTTGATAACTTGGTTAGAAATAGTGCCAGCCTTGGTCCCTTTGTTAACTTGAAGAAACTAAGTATCCAATATTGTTGCATATGTGGGAAACCATCGTCCTTGGGCAGATGTATTGTACAAATGGACTTGGTACCTAATTTAGAGTTCCTTAGTTTCTTTGCGGTGAGCGGATTAGAAAGCCTTTCAAGTATCAGCAATTTTCTTGGGCTAGGTTTCACTAAGCTAAAAGAAATAGAAGTTTATTACTGTGATGATTTGGAAAATCTATTTGTAATGGATGGAACTCTCCAAAAGCTTGAAAAATTGGAAACAATCTATATAGATGGATGTGAGAAATTGACACAAGTGTTCAAGAACACGCTTAAGGACAACATTGTTCCGAACCTTCGGACCCTGTTCTTGTGTGAACTTCCTGCACTAAAGGGAATATGCAATGCAAATGTATCATGGGAAAGTCTAGAACAACTTGAAGTGAGAGAGTGCAATATGTTGGGGAAACTGCCTCTTGGTATACAAAGTGCAGAAAGTATTCAATTGATAGAGGGTGACCAAGATTGGTGGGATGAACTGGAATGGGATACTGAAAATTTCAAAGAGCATCTACAACCACACTTTAATGCATTGAAAAGTTAGAGATGCAAAAGCTTCAGAATACCTCAACATGACTCAGGTATGTTTGTCGTTATTAAATTAAGATTATTTGATTTATTTCACCTCCCTAAGTACACTTTTGGGCTTTGGGCTAATTTATATACAATATAGGTATTCTTCCTCTCTCCTGCTTCAAATAATCTAAAATATGCATAACAACTCCGAAAGGAGTGGCCAAGTGGGTGAATCATGGGTCACGAACTCAATTCTTGTCAATACCATCTTGATTGAGCTAGTCGCACACAAGAGCGGGATTTACCCCACACCATTGGGTAGTGGTTGCGGGTTTCCCTTGTCATGAAAAAAAATGTATAACATTGTAAGAAAAACTTGATGCAAATGCTATTTTTTCCTATTCAAATCACTATATTTATCTGAATTAATATTTAATTAGGATTCTTCACTAAAGTTGATTTACATTATTATTCATACTTTATTTTCCTGGAAGTGTATAATGTCTTGTTTTGGTCAAAATATTTGACGATTATAAAGAACATTTTGGGATGATTATTTTATTTGATTTTTTTTGGAGCAATGCTTAACAATTTTTTTTGAGTGATGAGGGAAACACTGTACTACCTACGGATGGCAATGGGGCAGGGTGGCCCCGTCCCCATCCCCGGCGGGGAATTGGAAATATTCTCTACCCCTGTCCCCCGGTCAACTCTTAGTGAAAGGGTTAAATTAGTGCAATTTTTAATAGTTGGGGACGGCAAATTGCCATCTCTATATTAGACTTTTGTATCTAATTGTCACATTGAGTTAGCTATTCATATACTTATATCTCATATGTCATACTGTATTATTTTGTAAACTATATTCATTGATTTTTACAGGAAAACGAACTTTGAAGACCTTTTACTCTGTTTATAGCTGTGTTTTTACTACAATAATGGAGGGTGCAGAGGATTGCAATTGCTAAGGCTAATCCAGCCATAATAGTTGACAAGATTGAGAATGTTTTCGATTATTTTACAGGTTGGATTTTCAATTGTTCCATATTCTTATTTTCCACTATTTTGTATTTTATTCTTATATTTATGTTTAATGTGTGTATTAGTGGATTATAATGGTTGGATGAATGTATATAGCTATGGGTGTCTTGATATGTGCCTGCTCTTATGTTTTATGTTTACATTATGTATTGAACAATAATATGAGTTTTGGAGTGATTTATATGATTATTAACTAGGGAAAAGGGTCAAATAAGCCCTCGAACTTTAGCTTAAAAGTTAATTAGGCCCCTAAATTTTTTAAAAATGCAATTATACTCATCAACAATTCATTTAGGTGCAATGAAGCTCAAAAACAAGTTAATGACCTGCTATTACAAGTCATTAGGGTTCAGGTCATCTTCCGGCAAAAAAAAAGTGACCAGCAACCGACCCATATATGCCGAAATTTTCGCTGGTCATTTTTTTTTTTTTTTTTTTTTTTTGCTGGAAAATTCGCCGAAATGTGGCATGAACCCTAATGACCTATTATAGCAGGTCATTAATTGGTTTTTGGGCTTCATTGCACCTAAATGAATTGTTGATGGGTGTAATTGCACCTTTAAAAAGTTTAGGGGCCTAATTGACTTTTAAGTTAAAGTTCGAGAGCCTATTTGACAATTTTCCCTAAAAAATTCTTATAGAATACTATAGAACAAAATCTTTTTATTTTTTGTTTGTATAGTTGACACGTTTAATATCATAAGATAATAAGCCTACTAGCTTGTTTATAAATTTAATTTTTTTTTAATGCTATTGACTCATTGTAGTATCCGTTCACACGTACTTTCTCAACCTAATGAAGCACATAGAGTCAACGCCTCTGCTGAGGCTTGATCTCATGACCTCCCACATGGGAGAAGTCACTACATGTCATCCGAGCACAATGTGTTTAGTTATAAATTTGATTTATTATTTTATAAAATTGTAAACCAATTTAACTTAAGTTGGATTTTATTTATTTATTTCTTGTATCAAGTTAAAAATTGACTACGTTCATAAATAAATTTTATACTAAATTACATGAATTTTTCAGTTTGTAGAAATGAAGGAATGTTATGCTGTGGAATCGTGTCCACCTTGCAAGGTGAGCACGGTTCCATATTTATAATTTTTATACTGTAGATTTATAATTTCTATACTGTAGATTCATAATTTCTATATTGTAGATTCATAAAATTTTTACTTTAGATTCTAATTTCTAAACTGTAGATTCATAATTTCTATATAGTAGATTCATAATTTTTATACTGCAGATTCATAATATATTTACTGTAGATTCATAATTTCTGAACTTTAAATTAATAATTTTAAACTGTATAATTATCAAATTATGAACATATAGTTTTGTGATTTGTGAAAACAAAGTTCAACAATTGAGAATATGAATATCGAAAATTATGAACATATAGCTCTATAATTATGAACATATATTTATAAAATTATGAACATATAACTCCATAATTATGAATCTACAGTATAGAAATTATAGATATGAAACCGTGTCCAACTTGCAAGATGGACACGTTTCCACGGCATAATTTGCCATATTTTATGAGGTAGACCAAAGAAATATTTATTTTGTAGAAGAAAAAGAGTATGAGGTCTTTTTGCAAAAAAAAAAAAAAAAAAAAAAGAAAGAAGTATGAGGTCTTCGATTTAAAATAAATTAGATGGCCGAACCCACAAAATTCTTGGAAAAGAAAAAAATATTGGGCCTCAAGACTTCCAAATTTTAGAGTGAGGAGGCCCAAAAAAACCGAATCAATACTTTTTAATTTTATTATATGAGGAAGGATTCAGGCAATTTATATCCTGCACCACGGTGCGCGTTGTATTGTGCGCCCAGATGCAAAACGACGTCGTTTCAATTTTTTTTTTTTTTTTTTTGAAATTTCCTTACCCAGTGTTTGACAGTTACTTTTAACATAATACACATCAACTCTTAACATAATACACAAAAATTTCCTGATTTGGATGTACATAATTGTATAAAAAAATGTACATAAATGTATAAAAAATGTACATAATAAATGTATACATAATTGTATAAACAAATATACATAATCATGTGAACTTCCTACCGCGCCTCCCAAAACGACGTCGTTTTGGAAGGCGCGAGGCACACAGTGCACTGTACGCCGTGGTGCAGGGTATAACGATTGAGAACTCAAGCTTTTAACTAAAGCAAAGACGCAGCCCTCAACGAAATCTTCTTCAACAAAAACGCAGTTTACCAAAAAGATCCATCTTCCGGGCAGCGGCAAATTATGCTGTACATCATGGTGCACATGGATGCATAAACGACGTTGTTTTGACTAAAAACGCGCGTCCAACTTTAATTAAAAAAATCAGTTTCGATTCTCGTCAACAACATTATGTTGTGTATAATTTCTGAATGTATAGTTATGAAATTATGGATGTATAGTTATGCAATTCTGGATTTATAGTTATGAAATTGTGGATGTGTAGTTATGCAATTCTGAATGTATAGTTATGAAGTTATGCAATTCTGGATTTATAGTTATGAAGTTATGGATGTGTAGTTATGTGTGAGAACCCAAAATTTAATTTTATAAATCCAATTTAAGAAAAATCCAAAATAGCCATTTTCACTCCATTAAATTTTTTTGAGATAAATTGGTGTTTGAATAAATTATTTTGAGCTACATTTTAAATTAATTCAACACCGTAACTTATTTTAATTCCAAAATCCTAAATTTTCGGGTACTTCGCGTACTAAGTTTTAAACTGAGAAACTTATCTGAGTGAGACCGCGAGAAATCTGAGAAACCTGAACAAAGTGATTATATAGAAATCATTTTTGGAAAAATCTATTTTGACCCCAAACTATTTAAAACTATCCTTCTAGACTTGGGTCCATGTTGCATGGTGAACCACAAACTTCCAATGCATTTGCCCGAGACACTTTCTAGCCAAGCTTTTACCATTTTGCCCTCCACTAATCATTTTTGATTCACCTAGGGTTTTGAGCCACTATAAAATGAATAGTTAGTAGACATTTGCCTCTTGATTCCATTCTTAGCTTCCCATTCATTTGCATCAGGAGAACAACACAGAGGTGAAGAAGGAGGTGTCTAGCTTGGGAAGAAGGTGGAATCCAAGCTAAAGAGTGGAATCAACAAAGGTATAACCCCATGGACTCCCATCTTATGTTTGTCTATGTGAAACCATTGTTTTATAGATAGAAATGAGTAGAGATGCTAGATTCTTGAAGTGTTTGAGCTATTAAGTGATCTATTACTTGCCTATGTTGTATTGTTGATGTTTTGGATGTGTTTGATTTGCCTGAGAATGCTTTACAGATGAAAAGAAATCATCTGGTGCACAAGCAGTGTGCACCAGTAGAGGCACCGGCCCTAGGAGAGGGCCGCTGCCTAGGGCCGGCAAGTTATCGGCTTGAGGGGGCGGGCCTAGTTGAGCCCCGCCCCATGGACCGTGAGTTGCTCCTGTGCAGTGGTCGGGCCCTTGTGCTTAGCTACGTGTCGTTTCGGACCATGTGTCACGGGCCCTTGTGGCTCGGTACCTCGGGGTCGTCTTGATGCACGTTTTGGCTTTGATTTCGTTGAATTTGGATTAGAAATGAGCATGTTATGATGGAATTTGTGATGAAATGCTTCACAGTAAGGTTTTTTGAGTTCACTGCTTTTGGGAATTGCTTGGTTTTACTTTCTTCATGTTATTTGTGTACTTGAATAGAGAAGCATGAACACTTTGTGAATAAGAATTGTTAGAAAAGCATGACTAGAATGTGGAATTTGAAGCCTATTTTGATGGTAGAAATGTACGGAGTATGTCATTTTGCAAACAAGCATGATTGTATGTTCTTGAGAGTTCACTGTGATATATAGATTTGAAGCACGTTGAACAGTAAATTGCATTCCAAGTAAATCATGTTTTAAAAGTGCATAAATGGCCAACGTGGGCCTAAGTATTATTTTTCAAAAATCGCATCTCTATGAAGAACATCTTTATCTTGCCTTTTGAGAATGAATTGAGAAGTATGTGCATGTCTTTTGCATAAGTTAAGTGTTGCATATATGAGATGCATGAGCGATATATCTATGGTGAGGAAAACCTTGTTTTGGAGGACCCGTTTGGACTATGTCCTCTCGGAAGAAAGAAATGGACATTGCGGTCCCAGTATATGTAACGCGGTGTATTCCCACGTTACGAGGTTGGAAACTGCCCACCAGGCTTGGAATCCTAGTCAGGGGGTGTGCACGCTAAAAGTTCGATACCTGATTCCACAGATTTGAGTTTAGAACCAAGAGAGTGGTTCGGTGGATGAGATGAGCATATGTCGGGTAGAGGTCGTACCGGGATAGGTTCGTTCACGCTACATTGAAGTTCCTACCTCATCCATTAGTAAAGAAAGCGAGTCATTGCGACTCTAAGAAAAGAAAGCAAGCGAGTCCTTGTGGCTCTAAGAGACCTCCACAGAAAAGTATTCTATTTACAAACGAGTGTATAAGTATACTTATAGTATTGCACGAGATTGCATAATGAGAATGTTGCACGAGATTACATGATGAGAATGTTTGCACTAGATTGCATAATGAGAATGATTAACTGAGATTGTATATTGAGCATGATTGCTTTAGTTGCATTTTGATGCCTTATATATCTAGTTTGCGTGATGAGAATTCGAAAGCATGAGAATAATTTCGTATTGATTGATAGCATGCAATTGCTTGATAGCATGAGTTCGTTATGATGAGTTTTGTTATGAGAAAAATGTGTTGGAGTGATTTTTGTTGATGAATTATTTATCGATGAAGCATGCCTGTTGATATTCTAGGTTGCGAGCATATAGAAAGTCTGTGATGTATCTTAAAGTTGTCTAAGTGTTGAGATTACTTGATTAGAGTTGGTGAACATATGTTTTTCCAAAGTATATACTGTAGTATTTTACAGGGTTGAGTGTGGTTATACTTAGCTTCGTGCTAACAGATGTTTTCATTCTTGTCTATTTGTTGTTTTGCAAAACCTCTTTCAGGTGGGCCCAACGTATGAGAGTTGATCGAGTTAGACTAGTTTAGTAGATCTAATAGTCCTAACTCTGATTATTATTATAATGTTTTGATGATGGATTGTAGACTGATGCTACTTATGTTTGATGATAAACATCGGGGTGTTTTTTCCCCAAGTGACTTTAAATAAAGTAATTTGA